GAGGAAGAACCCCCACTCCAGATCCCGCAAGAAACAGAAGCAGAAGCAGCAGAATACTACGCTCACTACAAGCGCACCTCCGGCATCCGCGCCGAAGACAATCTCTGGCACCAGCGGTTGGGCCACCCCTCCCGCCAGACTCTCGCCAACTGCCTCCGCGCTAAAGTTTTTCCGCCAGGAGCACTGCTGCAACCTGACGGCACGGAACCCCACAACACCCCACATCCCGTCACTTGCACCGTCTGTCCTACAGCCACTCTCTCACACAGCGCCTACCCCTCTCTGGAGCCAAGCACCAACCGTTACAAGAAGTTGGAGAAATTGTACAGCGGTTTCATCGTGCTCACCTTCGACGGCATCAACGGCGAGAAATATACCCTCACCTTCATCGACGCCTACTCACGTCACGTGTGGATTGCCAATGTCGACGATCGCTCCAAGGCCCTAGAAGTCTTCCGCATCTGGCTCGCATACGCGCAACGCCAATCAGGGAGGAAGCTGAAAATCTGGCAGAGCGACGGAGCCAAAGAATTTTGCAGCAACGAGCTGGAGAGCGTTCTTACCGAGAAGGGGATCAAGCACGAGATTTCTCTCCCCTACGCTCATCAGCAGCAAGGTGTCGCAGAGAGGGTTAACCGCACTCTCATGACGAAAGTGCGCGCCCTCATGAACCAGTCCGGCCTACCCAAGAAGTTCTGGCCCTACACCATGAACCACACGGTGCGCCTGCAGAACCTCCTCTCCACCACGGCCAACAGGGACAACCTTTCCCCGCACATGAAGTGGACCGGCTCAAGGGGAGACCCCTCCATGCTGAGGGTCTGGGGGTGCATGGTGCAGTATCGACCGACATCAGCCACAATTGGCAAGTTCGTTCACCGCGCGCGCTAGGGAATTCACTTGGGGCTCAGTCACGAGCACAAAGGCTGGCTCATTCTCGACATTGACAGCAAGGAGGTTGTTCCTGCGCGTGATATTCTCTTCTACGAGCGGCTCACCTTGAAGCAGTGGATCGAGAACGAACGTCGCAACGAGGCACGTGGCTACGTCAACAGCGGTCGCAGCTTCGCGTCCCAAGAAGACGAAGCAGCAGCAGCGGTACTGGATTGAGAGGACACTGACGAACACCCAAGCGTACCTCCTCGCCCACGGAAAGATGACGACGACGACGACGACGACACCGACGATGATCCCGCGCCTGGACCATCACGACGACAAGCTGAGCCAAGCACCACAACACCTGGTTACGAGACCGGAGACGACGACGTGGTAGAAGTCACCACCACCACATACACCACCAACGTGTCTGGCCTACAACTTCTCGGCCTGCATATGTCAGTCACTACTCTCCCGCGCGCCGTGGAGCCCAAGAATCCTCGCCAGGCCCTGACCGGCCCTCACGCCAAGGAGTGGCGTGCCACGATGGATGCGGAGCTACAAGCGCTGGAGTCTCGAGACACATGGGTCCTAGTCGATTGTGCAGCAGTGAAGGGGAGGAGGGTACTCAGCGGAAAATGGGTCTTTCGCCTAAAAACTAAAGTTGACGGCACCATCCAGCGATTCAAGGCACGCTGGGCCGTACGTGGGTACGATCAGCGCCATGGTATCGACTTCGACCAAACCTTCGCTCCCATCAGTCGACACACCTCCGTCAGAATCCTACTCGCCATAGCTGCCGCTAAACACCTGCCACTGCGGCAGATCGACGTGAAGAACTCGTTCTTATACGCATTAGTGGATGCAACCATCTTCGTGGAGCAGCCACACACCTACGGAGAAGGAGACCCCAGAGTCTGTCAGCTCAAGAAATCTCTTTACGGGATCAAGCAGGCGCCTCGCCTCTGGCAGCAGCATCTACGAAAAATTCTCCTCGAGATCGGTTTCAAGCAGCTGCCGCACGACCCGGGAATGTACCACCTTCATGTTAGTGGCGACTACATCATCCTAACAGTTTACGTCGACGACCTGCTGTACACGGGCACCAACAACAAACTTCTCAATCAGTTTGAAGAGAACCTGGCGCTGCACGTTGATATCACCATCAACCACAGCGTGAAGCAGTTTTTGGGCCTGAACATCACCTACGCGCCAGAAGCAATTCACCTGTCAGCCTCCAAGTACGCAGAGCAGCTGAGGGAACGCTTGAACATCTCGCCCGCACCACTCTCAACTCCCTACCGTAACCCCAGTGCCAACTACAAACCGGAGAACAAACCTCTGTCATCCGCAGGACTCCAAATGTACCACCAGAAATTGGGGTGCCTGCTATTCGCCTCTGTCACCTGCCGACCCGACCTTTCGTACATCGCTAGCCAACTGGCGCAATATTCTTGCAAGCCAGTAGCTAAGAACCAGCTGGATCTAGAGCGCGCCTTGCAGTAATTCATCTCCACACCTGACATTGGCTCTCCTACTCCACACTGACGACGACCTCCTTCGACCTCAACGGCTACGTGGACGCAGATCATGCACCTGACCCTGCAAATCGTCGGTCCCGAACTGGCTTCGTTTTTCGCCTGGAACCCACTGGGCCAATCTCCTGGAACTCACAGAAGCAGGAGCTGGTTGCCCTGTCATCGGCTGAAGCAGGAACACATCGCCGGGACAGCAGCAGTTCGCGAAGGGCTATACCTGCAAGAGCTGCTACAGGAGGCGAAAATTCCAACCTCGCCCACCTTTCGCCTTCACTGCGACAACCAGAGTGCCATCAGGATCGCAAACAAGCCATGTTTCGTGAACCGCACGAAGCACATCGCACTTCGGTACTTTTTCGTCAAGGACGAAATTGACCAAGGAAAAGTTGACCTCGCCTACTATCCGACTACTGAGATGGCAGCAGACTTCCTCACCAAGCGTCTGCCACGTCAGCAGTACAAGCACTGCTCTGATCTCACCGGAGTAGTCAAGCGAGTCAGCGCCTCCTGCGCCCAGGAATGAAGGAGAGTGTTACGATATGAAATTACATGAGAAGGCATTCCTGTATGCTGCAGGAGCCAACTCTATCGAGTACGAAGTCGAGGAGTCAGAAGAGTCGAGCGACGCAGCAACCGTCTGACCAAGACTGATGCAGGCAGAAACATTCGAAGTGAAAAGAGCGAGAACAGGTTTTGAACGGGTTCCCGCGCCACACGGTTTGAATTTGCTGTAATAAGGAAATGTTTTCCTTAGTGTACATGGCTAGCCCAAGTCTTTTCGTATTCCTCTATATTCCTATATAAACCCGACGTATGCATGCTTTTATCAACTCAGTCATTTAGATTCACTCTGACCTAAGATTCAAACTTCCGCTGCAACACTATACTGCGATCAATTCTGAGCGATCCTTCGCTAAGTCCCACTTGGGATTGTAACAAGGTTCTTCCTGGAAATTCGAAAATGAGTGTGTCGCAACGAAATTTCGAAGAAACTTCGTCTCGATAATGTCTCATTCGGGGTTCGCTCATGCGCTGGCTGTACTGGAACAATCCGAAGGCGGGGTTATTGTGAGGAAATTTCCCTGAAACTTCCTCTCGATAAGGTCAAATTCAGGGACCACAGAGTCGATACTCTCTTAAGTCAGGGTCCACTAACAGCCTAGTCTGTTACACTGTACTCGAAATCAGGGATACGAAATCTATTACTCTGATTGGATCATGATTGAGAAATCATGAATTCTGAAAGTTCATTCTCCACAAAGTGGAAAGCCTGAAATCACCCTAAAATCAGGGTAATTACCCTGATAAAAAACAGCCCTGGCAGTGATACCACATCATTAACATCTTTGCGATTTGATATAGAAAGCTTGATAGCAATTGCTAGATATTATATTTCTATTCAGAACCTTCTGAATTGGTTGATAACACTCGTGTTATGAATGAACTTGCAGAGTGCGCAGAATAACGAATAACGAGAATGATTGAGTACTGGATGACCGTACAAAGAAAGTGTCGAGACCTAAATAGGGGAAATGCTAGCTAGGCGGGGAGGTCGGGCGAGGATGGCTATGTGATGGTTGCGATTGGTGCGGAGGCGACTCGGGGGTGGTTCGGTGCGACAAAATAGGCAAGAGCCTTAGTAAGGATTTGTAAATCCTTACAACTCGTCCACCAACTATTTGGTGGACCAAAACACCATCCCTCACATCCCGTGTGCCCAAAAGCACGATTTCTCCTAGTTCCACCCTCTGCCACCTGGCTGCCCTAACACAAGGTAGTCCGAGAGAGTGACAAGGAAAACTGCTATGCTCTTCCAGGTAATGCAAAGCTCCCAATGCAACATTTTTCTAGCGAGCATGGGGGGTACCAATCGCACGTGTTAGAGCGGACCGTGGATAGGTGTGTAACCCTAAACCACACTGGGACGGTGATCATACTTTCGACCCACCGAGCTCATGTGCAGCATTCACAACACCTCGAAACGTAGCGAAATTCATGACCGTGGCGAAGCCTAGTAGCGAGAGCACGAGGCCATTCCACCGAATGCGCATTTAATAGAAACCCACGGCCAAGTCTCTTGTGAAACCCATAGAAACTCGTCTGAACCCCTTCTTTCGGCGTTGCGGTTAAAGGTCGTTCGTCTCACCGACCGGTCGTGTCTTGAAGACCGTTGGCCTAGCCTACTGGTACGCCTCCGCGTGTTGAGTAGACTCGAAGTCATCCTTCAAGGTCGTTCGTCTTATTTTGGCTTCAACACACACAGGGTGCTCGTTTTCGTAAGGCCATTGGCCTACTGGTACGCCTCTCCGCCGCTGGTTTCCTAAGCCTTCGCTGGTTTCCTGAGCCTTTGCTGGTTTCCTGAGCCTTCGCTGGTTTCCTGAGCCTTCGCTGGTTTCCTGAGCCAACGCTGGTTTCCCGAGCCTTCGCTGGTTTCCTAAGACCACTCTGGTTTCCTGAGCCTTCGCTGGTTTCCTAAGCCTTCGCTGGTTTCCTAAGCCTTCGCTGGTTTCCTAAGCCTTTGCTGGTTTCCTGCTTGGAACGACTTGAGCTGTTCTGACCGATGTTAAGGCCCGGGTATCATGATTGTCATTGCGCCTGAATAGCAAAAGTCCATACAAAGTAAGGGGATTCTTGACAACCAGATTGTTGTTCTGTTTATTGAAGGAGGAGGAGGAGGAGGAGGAGGAGGAGGAGGAGGAGGAGGAGGAGGAGGAGGAGGAGGAGGAGGAGGAGGAGGAGAAGCAGGAGAGGGAGAAACACGCTGGCATGGTAGCAACCTCCGCATCAGGCGGCATGGCGTCTGGGGGGATTGTAAAGGAGGAACCTGAGGAGGATGATTGGAGAGCTGGGGAGGAGGAGAGCAAGGAGGAGAGTGAGGAGGAGACTGAGGAGGAAAGTGAGGAGGAAAATGAGAAGGAACGTGAGGAGGAAATTGATGAGGAGAATGAGGAGGAGAGCGAGGAGGTGGAGAGGGAGGAGGAGAAAAGTGACGAGGAAACAGAGGAAGAAAATGAGAAGAATGTGGAGGAGAAAACCGAGGAAATAATTGAGAAGGATGAGGTGAACGAGGAGGAGGAGGAAGGGGAGGAGGAGAGAGAGGGGGAGGAAGGAGAGTAGGAGGAGAAAGAGGGGGACGAGGGAGAGGAGGAGGGAGAGGGGGAGGAGGGAGAGGAGGAGGAGGGAGAGGAGGGGGGAGAGGGGGAGGAGGGAGAGGAGGAAGAGGGAGAGGGGGAGGAGGGAGAGGGGGAGGAGGGAGAGGGGGAGGAGGGAGAGGAGGAGGAGGAGGGAGAGGGGGAGGAGGGAGAGGAGGAGGAGGGAGAGGAGGAGAAGGAAGAGGAGGAGGAGGAGGAAGGGGAGGAGGAGAAGGAAGAGGAGGAAGATGATGAGGAGAAGGAAGAGGAGAAGAAGGGGGAGGAGAAGGGGCAGGAGAAGGAAGGGGAAGAGGAGGAGGAGGAGGAGGAGGAGGAGGAGGAGGAGGAGGAGGAGGAGGAGGAGGAGGAGGAGGGAGTGGAAGGAGGGCGGGTAGAGGAACAGCAGAAGGATTCACCTCCATCACAGAAAGGTGTTGCATGGCGAGCGATTTGCTGGACAAACCCCCCTGCTTGAAGGTTCAGGGTTCTGGGTCTAGGTTCAAATATCGAAGTTCAGGGTTCTGGTTTCAGGCTTAACAGCAAGGTTCAGGGTTTAAAGGTCCTGGTTTCAGATTCGGGTTCAAGGTTCACAAACAAGTCAGGGCTTGCTAATGTGGGGTTTGGGGTGTGATTTCTGAGTCGAGTCAAATGTCACTGATGGTTATCAGGCTTAGGGTTAAGAATTCGCTGTCCCCACCGATTTGTTTTGTCTTTCCTTCCCCATGGCCATCCCCTTTGTGCAGATCAGAGGAAGAAGAATTCCAGCCCCCCTGTTACAACGTGCAGAGCTCTCACACCCTCCACGCCCTTTGCACTGCGCCACAGCAGGCGCAAGGAGAGAAGGTGCAGAGGAGAGGAGGAACGCCCAGTGAACGCAGGGAAAGGTTCTAACTCTTAACACTACGCTGGCCCCATATTCTCTCCTGTCTGTGCTGCTGCAGATCGCAAGGGGAAGAATCTCCAACCCCCGCTTCCAACGTGCACAGCTCTCGCACCATCCTCGCCCTTCTTCCAATCCTCAGCCTTGCCTGTGTTTCCCCTCCCTGTCTCTGTCGCAGATCAGAGGAAGAAGAAGAATCCCCAGCCCCCCGCTTCCAACGTGCAGAGCTCTCGCACCATCCTTGCCCTTCTTCCAATCCTCAGCCTTGCCCGTGTTTCCCCTGCCTGTTTGTGTCGCAGATCAGAGGAAGAAGAAGAATCTCCAGCCCCCCTCTTCCAACGCGCAGAGCTCTTGCACCATCCTCGCCCTCCGCTCTGCGCCACATCAGGCACGGGGAGAGAGGGTGCAGGCGAGAGGAGGAACGGCGCACGGGCGAGACGGACGGTTCCAATCTTCAGCGTCAAGAAAGGCTGCTTCTGCTATAGGTGATGCTGCATGTGCTGCTGCTGCTGCTGAAGAAGGTGGTGCAGGAGTTGATGGTGGCGGTGATGGGCTAGTGGAAGGAAGAGACAAGAGCAGTGGGTCAAAGATTGCTCGTCACTCTGAACGTCCCTCTGCTTCTGGTGATGCTGCTGGTGCTGCTGCTGTTGCTGTTGGTGATACTGTCGCTCCTTCTCCCAGTCCCTTGAAACAGCAGGAGCAGCAGCAGAAGGGGCAGCAGTTGCAGCAGCAAGAAGGGGAGGTAGAGAAAGAGGGGCAACAGAATCGCAGGAAGACAGCAACTCCAAAAAGAGGAGCAGTCGCCACGGCTTCTGGTACTGCTGCTGCTGGTGCTGGTAGTGGTGGTGCTGCTGCTTCTCGTGTTGGTTCTGCTCGTTGTCGCTCCACTCCTCCTCCTGCTCCTAATGCTACTGCTGCTGCTGCTGCACCAACTTCACCCAACACGCCCCTCCCGCCCTTCCGCTTCACATCAAATCAAGAGTGGCGGCATTTGGACTTTGGCAACGATCTCACCGCACTCACTGCAGACGGGCGGCGCGGCCGGAGCGCCGCCCGCACGCTGGGCTTCCGGGGCAGCTGCATTCGTCTGCCAGCGGTGCACCGGCAGATGCTGAGGCGGCTTCTAAGGAGGATGATGTTCCGAGGGGAGGTGGAGCAGGCGGTAGGGGTGCTGGCGGCTCTGATGGATGCGGATAAGGATGCTGAAGTTACGAGACGAGCTGTTGACGAGCCTATATGGCTGGAGTCCCAGGTAAGATGCAACCCTACTCTTGGAACCCTAACATCAACCTAGTACAGTACAACAGGCGTTCTGGCTGCCCTGATGGACGCGGATAAGGATGCTGAGGTGACCAAACAGGTTGCGGATGAACCGATATGGCTTGAGTCTCAGGTGAGGAGTCGCAGGTAAGGAAGGGAAAGTGCCTGACCAAACGTGCTCGCGGCTCTGATGGACGCGGATAAGGATGCTGAAGTGACCAGAGGGGCTGTGGATGAACCGATATGGCTCGAGTCGCAAGTGAAGAGAAACCCCAAAGTAAGTAAGAAGTGAACCAGGCAGGGGTGGTGCCGTGTGTGGGAAGAGACAACACCGATCTTGACACCTGTCTGCCCTCTCCTCTCCTCTCCTCTCCTCTCCTCTCTCTCCCCCCTTCGCGTACCCCTTCTTTTCATTCACTCCCTCCCCCAGCAAGCGCTGGTGCTGCTGCGAGAGTTGTGGCGCAAGGGCTTCAGTAGCAGAGGCAGTGGCAGTGGTGCTGCCAGTGGTGGAGGTGGTGGCAGCAGCAGCAGCAGCAGTGAGCGGCGAAGGGCAGAGAGGAGGCGACTGGTGGTGTTCATGCGAGTGATAGCTCTGAAGCAAGAGGACGATGTGAGTGGTGATGGGAGGGAAGAGTAGGTGGGCTGTGCATGGGTAGCGTATGTTATATGATGCCCACTGTTCTGAGAGCAGACGAGTGGTTGTGTTCATGCGAGCAATAGTTCTGAAGCAAGAGGATGACATGATGAGTGGTGACCGGGAGGAGGGTCGGCGTGGTGTGCGTGCGTGGGTACTGGAAGGAAGTTGTATGATGATTACTTGTATTAGAGGGAGGAGGCGACTGGTGTTCTTTATGAGAGCGGGAGAGCTCCCAAGAAAGAAAGAGGATGGTGAGAGTGCTGATGGGGAGACTTCCTAGTGCGTGTGGGTGGTGTATGACAGATGATTTGTGTACCAGGAAGACTCCCCATCATGAGCAGCTGTTTTGAGAGGCACCATTAGAGGACCAGGCACCTCTCTCTCTCTCTCAACCTCCCTCAACGTACCTCGATGCCATGCCAAATCCCCCCTTTTCCCTCTCAACCTTGCATCGCACGGCCGCTTGTGCAAGTGGGGCTTGAACACTCTCTCGTACACCAAAACCATCACACATCCCCTTTCAACCGTTACCCTTGATTTACTCACTCCATCGCCCTTCCTCTCACCTTTTCCCTTGCCTCCTTCCATCTCTCCCCATCGCACGGACGCTTGTGCAAGTGGGGCTTGAACACTCTATCATACACCAGAAACACCACCAGTAGAGGAGTGAAATGCCCAAATGCCCTTCTCTTTTCCACCCTTCCTCTCACCTTCTCCCTTGCCTCCTTCCATCTCTCCTCATCGCGAGGCCGCTTGTGCAAGTGGGGCTTGAACACCCGCTCGTAGAGCAGAATCATCGCACTCTCTTTCAACCTTTACCCTTGAATTACTCACTCCCTCCTCTCCCTTCCTCTCACCTTTTCCTTTGCCTCCTTCCATCTCTCTTCATCGCACGGGCGCTTGTGCAAGTGGGGCTTGAACACTCTCTCATACACCAGAACCATAACCGGAGGTGAGAACGTGTGCCCCTCAACGTCTATCCACTGATTCACCAAAGCTTGGTCCTGCAAGAGAATGCAAAGGGGTGGCATGGGTACACACGAGGCTTGTACTGAACACCCCCTCTCTCATACACCAGAACGTGTGCCCCTCAACGTCTATCCACTGGTTCACCAAAGCTCGGTCCTGGTGTGATGTGACAGAAAGGATGAGAGATGCGAAGCAATGGGGGGGTACGGTGCATGCATGAGGCAGGAACACCAGAACCATCACAAGAGGGAAGAGAGTGTGTGTGACCCTCAACGTCCATCCACTGGTTCACCAGCGCTCGCTCCTGGTGTGGTGTGACATAAAGGATGAGAAATGCGAAGCAACGGGCGGGTACGGTGCATGCATGAGGCAGGAACACCAGAACCATCACAGGAGGGAAGAGAGTGTGTGTGACCCTCAACGTCCATCCACTGGTTCACCAGCGCTCAGTCTTGGAGTGATGTGACAGAAAGGATGAGAGATGTGAAGCAACGGAGGGGTACGTACGGTGCATGCCGGAGGCGATCCAGAAAGTTTTTGTTTCTCTCTCCTCTCGTTGACCTGAATCATCACCGAGGGAAAGAAGAAGGGAAGGTGGCTGGTGCGGAGGGTCTGTACAAGGGGCTCAAACGCTCTTTCAAGAACCAGAATCAGTGTTTTGAGACGTCTCAAAGCACTAGTTCTATCACGGAGGGTTTGTGCAAGGGGCTGGAACGCTCTCTCAAGAACCAGAATCAATTTTGAGGCGCCTCAAAAAAAGAAGGGGAGGTGGCTGGTGTAGAGGTGGCTGGTGCGGAGGGTCTGTACAAGGGGCTTGAACGCTCTTTATTGCACCAGAAGCCGTTCGAGTAGACTCAAATGTCAGACAATGGGGAGGTGGCTGGTGCGGAGGGTTTGCACAAGGGGCTTGAACGCTCTCTCACGAACCAGAAACATAACCGAGGCAAGCGTGCAACCATGCTTCACGTGCCACACACCCAAGCCTACCATGAGTGTTTCTCCCAGGAGGTTGGGCCCTATGTTACCGTATACGCTCAGCATTTTTTTTGTTTCACATATATGTGTTCACGTATAAACGCAAAAACGTGAAACGGGGACAAATGCGCGATACGGAAAGCCGGGCAGGAAAAAAAAAAAAACAAAAAATAAAAAACAAAAGTTCGCGCTTTTTCCGTACGCCCGTATACCGACATTTTGGGTCGCGTTTTTCCAACCAGGGGACGTGCAAAACCGAGTCGCCACGATCACCCCACGAACATCAACATTGCGCCCACTACCCCCAACAACTCGTGACCAACCACAGCACGTCCCCCACCCAACCAATCCGTGGTAAGTAAAATTGACCCGACCTAAGCTATGTCTAGTCCACCAGTCACTTCTCCCGACACTCAGCCTTCTAGTCCGTCTTGTCAGCCTACTACTGATCCTTCGGCCTCGACCTCGGAGGCGCAATGGCAGGAGGAGGATAGTACTCATGTCGTTTTTAAGCATTTCAAGGTTCCCATCCGTCCCGGCACACTCGGTGCTGTCCGTGTTTGCAAGTATTGCGCCATGGAGTTCAAGGGTGGTGTGTTTCGATGTGCTCAGCATCTCGCAAAATGGAAGGGACAGAGATCTTGTTGAACAAGGATGAATGAACTAACAGTGAAATGAGTACAAGTATGAAAACCTAGGAATGTGTACCCCCTATAGGCTAACCCACTGTGGCCTAAACAACTACAACAACATATATAATGTTTGACACACCCCCATAGGCGAAGTGGGGGAGAACTAGGGGTCACAAGACTAGTCAAGTAAAGCAAAGCAAAGCAAAGCAAGCTCAGGGTGGATCACAACGTCACCACACAATCCGAGCACAAGTGCAAGGCCACAAGGCCAGTTCACATGCAGGAGTACATATATATATATAAGACTAAACAAGCAAGAGCAGTGATATATATATATAACAGTACAAAGAGGGTCAAGAGGAGAGCAAGTGAGGCAAGACAGACACAAGACCCAGCTGGGTGCAGCAGCGCTGATGATCACAAGGCGGAAGTGCCTTGGTGAAGACATCAGCAGTGTTGGCCTCAGAGGCCACGTACGCAAGTCGCAACTGACCACGCTGCTGTAGCTCACGAGCAAGGAAATAGCGGAGAGCAATGTGCTTTGTTCTGTGCTCCAGTCTCTGCTCCCGACACAAGGCCAGCATGGCCTTGTTGTCGACGTACAGGACTGGAGGAGAACGAGGCGGCTCTCCAAGGTCGTTCAGCAGGTAGGAGAGCCAGCGAAGCTCCTAAGCAGCCATGGCCCCTGCGTAGATCTCAGCCTCACAACTGGAGCCGAGAACAGAAGACGAGCGAGTAGCCCACCACGAAACAGAGCCGGAACCAAGGCTGAAGGTTTAACCCTGTGACGACCGCTGCGTAGCCTGGTCGTCAGCCCAAGAAGCGTCTGCGTGTCCAGTGAGGACCACTGGACTCCGCACTCCAAGCACTAGTCCCATGCCCGACGTACTGCACAAGTAGCGCAACACCCTCTTCGCTGCAGCCATGTGCTCTGGTCCATGTCTCCCAGGAGCAATATAGCGTGCAAGAATGCTAAGAGGGTATGCAAGGTCAGGTCGTGTGCAGGTCATCAGGTACATGAGACAGCCAACAAGCTCTGGGTACGGGCCACTCGACTCTACGGACTCATCCGAAGGCAGAGCTGAGAGTGAGTGGCGAGTAGACAGAGGAGTGGCCTGAGGCGAGGAGTACGTGAAGCCGAAGCGCTGAAGGAGCTGCTGCACCATGTGTGACTGAGTCAGGGTAATGGTGCGGCGTGCTCTGTCCCGGGTGATCTGCAAGCCAAGGTAGCTGCGCAGTTCACCCAGGTCAGTGCACGTGTGTCTCTTCTGCAGCTCGGACTTCACGTAGGCGAGTCCAGTAGTGTCAGCAGTGGCAAAGACCAAGTCGTCGACATACACGTGTTGGTGCAACCCTATGGTTTGTACTCGGCTTGTTGTCCGTGTGCATGCATGTGTGTGTGTATGGAATGGTATGAGGGCATGGGATAATATATATTTCATGCTTATAATTGTGTATGAATGTTGAGTCATGATGTCGAGTGTGTGTGTTGAGTCAATAGCGAGTTATCGCTAGACGCGTGTTACGCGGTCGTTTGTGTCTCGCGCGCGGTTTCTATTTTGTCGTGCGCGGTTTCTATTTTGTCCTGTGTCGAACGTTCGGTGTGTCGCAGGTGTGTGCAGCATACCCATCAAGAACTCAAGGATGAGTTTGTGATGAAGAGCCCGAGCCTTGGTGTCAAGCCTCAAGTGATTTCGAAGCTCGCCAAAAGGGTACACCTCAAGATATTGAAGATAGTTACATTACTTTGTGTAGTGTAACATTTCACTTGGTGTAGGCCCTAGTGAAGGGTAGTTTCGAGACCCTTCGTGGTTCGGGACAGTGTGGCACTGTTCCACATCACTGTACCTCGGCTCTTGGGGTTTGTAGGAGCTGGGAGTCATTCCCAACTCGTAACTCTTCAGATCTCTTCCTATCTTGTGTTCTAAGACTATAGTGGCTGCCATAGTGCCGTTCGTTCAAACCAACGCTGTGTCGTCAATACTTGGTCAAATCGTGCGATCTAAATTGCCTATTGTAGGCGACAATAAGACGCTCTAGATCCAAGTTGAATCAAGTCATTTGAAGCTGTGACCAGAACGCTATGAACGTTTGAAGCCGCTGTGCAGAAATCCGACTGTGCACTCTATCTTTCGTTTTAGGCACATTGGAGCCTACTGTGACTATAACAAGTGGTATCAGAGCCCCTTGGAGCAGTTTCGACAATGGCTGGACATGAGGAAAGGGGTGGCAGAGGTGCTGGTGGTAGAGGAGAAGCCCAAGCTCAAGGCCAACCCCGTGACTCAGCCATGGCGCCCGTGCAACCAAGTGTTGGCCCATCTAGGGATGAGCCTAGAGTGTTTGGCCTTGACAAGTTCAATGGTGACAACTTTGCTGAGTGGTCCTTCAGAATGGAGAACATATTTGACCACTATGACCTGCTGG